GAAAGAAAGCAGAAAAATGAGTTTATAATATGTATCTATATATATTTTTTGTGTGACATTATATGACTTGCAAGGCATAGCCCGCGCTCAAGGCATCGCTTCTCTTTAGCCATCGCACAAAAACTCAGTCCAAAGCCCTGGGCCCTTGACGTGGTCTCGCCAGCACCATAGAGTTGCTCCGAAGTTTGTTGACCATTGCCTCAGCACGGTTGGAGCAGATGTATATAATCCCATCATATCTCATCCCAAGAAGAATTTAACACCCCCATTCTATGATTTCTATGGTCCCATGTGTAAATCCCCTACTAACCATTACTAAGCCATGGTTTCTGTGGAGTGTGTCATATTGGGGCCATGGGATTACTCGGATTCAATGGCTCCAACTCCCAACCCCTGTGTCACGATTGGATGCGAGGAACGAATCAGATCCAAGCGATGCCAAATGAACGGGAAACCGAAATTCTGAAGCCGCAAGCTCGTCTGCAGTGGAAGAGGAGATGGGCCAGTCGATCCAGTGGACAATGTGGGCTGACATCATGGAAGTTGATGATAAATGAAATACAGTACAATGAAAGACAATGAAACACAACACCCATCTATGGTATTCTTGCTTGTCCTTTGTTTTTTGTTCTGGACTCTTGAGGTTCGAATATTACAATGATTCAGAACCAATGGTTTTCCAGTCTCAATGTGCATGACGTGAATTCTTGACACATTGTGACCACGGCACCTCGCTTGAACGATTCCCTGCTGAAATGCTCCAGGTAAATGGGTCTCGCCAGGAATCTCTCGCCATAGATAGGGTTGCCGTAGTGCTGCGGTTGGGCAACTGCAGTTTCAAGGTCGCAGAAATGGAGAACCGCTCCTCCTTTGCAAATACGACTTCTGCCTCGTAAGCGCCTGTGGACCACAGAAGCATATCCACACAATACCACCAGCGATCCAAGTTTTTGATCCTTTCGCGCCGCCTGTCCTCGCTGGAAAGTGACACAGAAAGGCCTAGAGTGTCCTTGATGCTGTTCAAAAGGGATGGGGGATCCAACATCGAGAAGCGAACATCAAATGATGCAGATGCCATCTCAGAATCACCGCCGAATGTCATCAATTGTTTGAAGCGACGTGCAGCTGGATGGTAGCGGTGATGGGCAGCTTCAAAGACCAAGAGCTGAGTTTCTCTCATGGTTTTCACCACTTGATGTGCCTCTTCTGCACTCAGAACCGCTGGCTTCTCCAAAAGGACATGCTTTCCAGCATTCAAAGCTGCTAAGGTCCACTCCAGATGAAGTGCAGTCGGGAGACCCACATAAACGGCATCCACATCCTCTCTGGCCAAGAGCTCCCGATATGCCGTTGCTCCACCATGAAACGCCGGGATGCGGTGCTGCTGAGCATAACTTTTAGCCTTCGACTCACTGCGGGCAGCCACAGCAGTCACCAGCACATCTTGGCGCTTGTCAGCAGCATGTATCACAGCAGCTCGGGCAATGAAAGAAGCACCCAGAATTCCTATCCTCAAAGCATCTTTGTCTTTGTTTTCTGGGTAAACCAAGACTTGCGGAATTCGTCGAAGCCGCAGAATCACTGGCCAAATTGACCAAAGGGCTGCTGCTAGCAGCGCTAGGCCAGGACCCAAACATGATACTACCAGCGAAAGTCTCATGTCTGTTAACAATGGCAGAGCCCTGGCTGCGTCGTCGAAAACAGCCGATCTGACATGTCATATACATGCCATATACATTCATATACTGTCATATGCATGCCATATACATGTCATACATGTCATATACATGTCATATGTCAAATTCTTTTCCATGAGGCCCCACTTGACGGATCGAAGTCTCATGGAATTGTTTTGAGGATCAGTCCCACAGTCAAATTGATCTCCTGCAAAACAATGCAAAACAAGCAGTGTAGGTGATATGATTGGGACGTCATCTCATAAGCACGTGTATTCAATCCACTGCAGAGTTGAGCGTGCGCAGCTGAGCTAAAGTATTCAAAACTAAAGTGAAAACTTTGGGTCACTAACTCTTCAAGCCAAAATCTCTTTCCGTTGTATGATATCTCTGTATCTTTTCATTTCAAGCACCCGAGTTGACACTCTTTTTTTCCAACTCAGCTGTTGGAGGCTTCAAAGCGACTCATTCTCAGAAGCTGAGTCGGCCTCAAAGCGAACCTGCAGAATGCAGCCGAGTCTCTATGGATGTCTATGGACTCGGTGGAGTCTATAGATTTGGGAATGCAAAAAAAAAACACATCCACTTCTATTCATCGTTTCCACGTGGTGGTTGTGTGTACATCAAATATTAGCTGTGTCAATGCGCTTTCGGTTCGCTGCATCCCTCATCTAGGTACATGTCACACGCTACACCCTGTTCAAAAGGTCACTTGCAAACAAGATTCCGCCGATTTGGTGGCCCGAACATTGGGGTCGACAATGGCAGTAATTGTGTCCTGTACGGAGAGTCACAAACGAAGTACTTGAAGAATCTTGAAGAGTAAGTGATTCAGATGCAACACTCTCCTGAGAGCCCATTCGTAAGCTTTCGTAAGTGTCATCCTCTTGCAGCATTCGATTTCGAAGCTTGAAGCTGACACGGGAGCTATCAACCTGAGCAACAGACTGAACACTGGCAACTAGCGACTTGATACGTCGCATCATTCGTTGATGCAAAGGCATCTTGAATCTCAGCAATGCCTCATGCAAAGATTGACATGAAAAGACTTCTTTGCAATCCCTGCTAGGATGTAAAAAAAATGCGGGCAGCAAAAATTCAGGACGAACCTAATCACGCAAAATCATGTTTTCTGATAATTGAGTCAGAATCATGTGTATCTATATTCTATGTAATTATTGATCTATCTGAATCTATCTATATGTGTATGTCCTGTATGTCAATGTGGAGGTAGACGGGCCTGTATCTACAGCACGTATCTGCACATGACTTGGCTTCTCTGATGAAACCGCAAAGGAAGACCGATAGAACCACGCCTGGATGCGGCGACAGTAGGTGTCAAAAAGTAGGTCCAGGTGCGCATGAGAGGCATATTTGATGTGCACATCAGGCCTCGAATCACGCTTTGACTATTGACCAAACATGATCACCTCATCTTTCCTTGACCTTTGTCCACAAATCCAGTATCAACTTCTGTCACAACGGGAACAAACAACATACTGTATCTCCTTCAGCACAAGGGGCGCTTGCTCTCGTTGAACACAGATGAGAACGCTGGGTCCGGCCCAACTGGGGCAGGATGGATCGTACACCCGCGCCAGGACCTTCTCTGCCAGGGCATCACAGTCCAACCTTGTCCTCAGGAGCTCTGCTTTAGTTCAAATGCCGCATTCCGAAAGAAGATGATGTCACACCTGTCACACCTTCACTGTGACAGTTCTTGTCTCAAATTACACCGGCATAGACCCCAGATAGAAAAGGTTGGAACTGATGGTTCCCAACGTGGGAACCAAAGGTCACCATGGCAAGGAACTGCAGGTTCCCAGACCGTGCAACTTAGGGTTCCCAACCTGGGAACCAGAGGTTACCATTGCAAGGAATTGCCGGTTCCCAGAAGTTAGAATTTATGTTTTCGAAGCTAAGCGACTATCATTGTAAGGAACTGCGGATTCCCAAAGTTTGAAACTCATGGTTCCAAGCCTGAAAAAGCATACGTTACCAGTGGAAGGATCTGTTGATTCCAAAAAGATAAAAATCATGGTTCTTAATGTTGTTTTGTTTTGTTTACTGAGCCGGCAACAGAACCTTTTGTTTTGCTTAATGGACCGGTAGCGGAATGTTTGCGTTTGGCTGTTGGGCCGGCATAAAAATGTTTTTGCACGAAGAAGGTGCATGTCAAAATGATATGAAAACAGTTTCTTTACAATTTTATGGTTTTGCTTAATGGACCGGTACAGAACGCTTTGTTTTGCTTAATGGACCGGTACCGGAATGTTTCCGTTTGGTTCATGGCAAGGAACTGCCGGTTCCCAAAGGTTGTAGCTCACTGTTGCCAACGTGGGGACCACAGGTTACCATGGCAAGGAACTGCCGGTTCCCAGACCTTGAAACTTACGGTTCCCAACCTGGGAACCAGAGGTTATTATTGCAAGGAATTGCCGGTTCCCAGAAGTTAGAATTTATGTTTTCGAAGCTAAGCGGCTATCATTGTAAGCAACTGCGGGTTCCCAAAGCTTGAAACTCATGGTTCCAAGCCTGAAAAAGTAACGTTACCAGTGGAAGGCTCTGTTGATTGCAAAAAGTTAGAACTCATGGTTCTTAATGTTGTTTTGGTTTGTTTACTGAGCCGGTAACAGAACCTTTTGTTTTGCTTAATGGACCGGTAGCGGAATGTTTGCGTTTGGCTGTTGGGCCGGCAAAAAATGTTTTTGCACGAAAAAGGTGCATGTCAAAATGATATGAAAACAGTTTCTTTACAATTTTATGGTTTTGCTTAATGGACCGGTACAGAACGCTTTGTTTTGCTTAATGGACCGGTACCAGAATGTTTGCGTTTGGTTCATGGCAAGGAACTGCCGGGTCCCAAAGGTTGGAACTCACGCTTGCCAACGCGGGAACCACAGGTTACCATTGCAAGGAACTGCCGGTCCCCACAGGTTAGAAGTCATGGTTCCCAACCTGGGAACCAGAGCTAAACAATTGCAAGCAACTGCCGGTTCCCAGAGGTTGGAACTCATGCTTCCCAACCTGGGAACCACAGGTTACCATTGCAAAGAACTTCCAATTCCTAAAGGTTGGTACTGATTTTTCCCAACGTGGGAACCAAAGGTTACCATGGCAAGGAACTGCCGGTTCCCAGACCTTGAAACTTAGGGTTCCCGTCCTGGGAACCAGAGGTTACCATTGCAAGGAATTGCCGGTTCCGAGAAGTTACACCTCATGTTTTCGAAGCTAAGCGGCTTTCATTGTAAGGAACTGCGGGTTCCCAAAGCTTAAAACTCATGGTTCCAAGCCTGAAAAAGTAACGTTACCAGTGGAAGGATCTGTTGATTGCAAAAAGTTAGAACTCATGGTTCTTAATGTTGTTTTGTTTTTTTTTCTGAGCCGGTAACAGAACCTTTTGTTTTGCTTAATGGAACGGTAGCGGAATGTTTGCGTTTGGCTGTTGGGCCGGCAAAAAATGTTTTTGCACGAAAAAGGTGCATGTCAAAATGATATGAAAACAGTTTCTTTACAATTTTATGGTTTTGCTTAATGGACCGGTACAGAACGCTTTGTTTTGCTTAATGGACCGGTACCAGAATGTTTGCGTTTGGTTCATGGCAAGGAACTGCCGGTTTCCAAAGGTTGGAACTCACGGTTGCCAACGTGGGAACCACAGGTTACCATTGCAAGGAACTGCCGGTTCCCAGAGGTTGGAACTCCTGGTTCCCAACCTGGGAACCATGGGTTACCATTGCAAGCAACTGCCGGTTACCACAGGTTGGAACTCATGCTTCCCAACCTGGGAACCATAGGTTACCATTGCAAAGAACTTCCAGTTCCTAAAGGTTGGAACTGATGGTTCCCAACGTGGGAACCAAAGGTTACCATGGCAAGGAACTGCCGGTTCCCAGAGGTTAGAACTTATGTTTTCGAAGCTAAGCAACTATCATTGTAAGGAATTGCCGGTTGCGAAAGCTTGAAACTCATGGTTCCAAACCTGAAAAAGCATACGTTACCAGTGGAAGGACCTGTTGATTTCAAAAAGGTAGAACTCATGGTTCTTAATGTTGTTTTGTTTTGTTTACTGAGCCGGTAACAGAACCTTATGTTTTGCTTAATGGACCGGTAGCGGAATGTTTGCGTTCGGCTGCTGGGCCGGCATAAAAATGTTTTTGCACGAAAAAGGAGCATGTTAAAATGATATGAAAACATGTTCTTTACAACTTTATGGTTTTGCTTAATGGACCGGTAAAGAACGCTTTGTTTTGCTTAATGGACCGGTACCAGAATGTTTGCGTTTGGTTCATGGCAAGGAACTGCCGGTTCCCAAAGGTTGGAACTCACGGTTGCCAACGTGGGAACCACAGGTTACCATTGCAAGTAACTGCCGGTTCCCAGAGGTTGGAACGCATGGTTCCCAACCTGGGAACCAAAAGTTGCCATTGCAAGCAACTGCCGGTCCCAACCTGGGAACGACAGGTTACCATTGCAAAGAACTTCCAGTTCCTTAAGGTTGGAACTGATGGTTCCCAACGTGGGAACCAGAGGTTGCCATGGCAAGGAATTGCCGGTTCCCAGAAGTTAGAATTTATGTTTTCGAAGCTAAGCGGCTTTCATTGTAAGGAACTGCGGGTTCCCAAAGCTTGAAACTCGTGGTTCCAAGCCTGAAAAAGTAACGTTACCAGTGGAAGGATCTGTTGATTGCAAAAAGTTAGAACTCATGGTTCTTAATGTTGTTTTGTTTTGTTTGCTGAGCCGGTAACAGAACCTTTTGTTTTGCTTAATGGACCGGTAGCGGAATGTTTGCGTTTGGCTGTTGGGCCGGCATAAAAATGTTTTTGCACGAAAAAGGTGCACGTCAAAATGATATGAAAACAGTTTCTTTACAATTTTATGGTTTTGCTTAATGGACCGGTACAGAACGCTTTGTTTTGCTTAATGGACCGGTACCGGAATGTTTGCGTTTGGTTCATGGCAAGGAACTGCCGGGTCCCAAAGGTTGGAACTCACGCTTGCCAACGTGGGAACCACAGGTTACCATTGCAAGGAACTGCCGGTTCCCACAGGTTAGAAGTCATGGTTCCCAACCTGGAAACCATAGGTTACCATTGCAAAGAACTTCCAGTTCCTAAAGGTTGGAACTGATGGTTCCCAACGTGGGAACCAAAGGTTACCATGGCAAGGAACTGCCGGTTCCCAGACCTTGAAACTTACGGTTCCCAACCTGGGAACCAGAGGTTACCATTGCAAGGAATTGCCGGTTCCCAGAGGTTGGAACTTATGATTTCGAAGCTAAGCAACTATCATTGTAAGGAATTGCCGATTGCGAAAGCTTGAAACTCATGGTTCCAAACCTGAAAAAGCATACGTTACCAGTGGAAGGATCTGTCGATTCCAAAAAGTTAGAACTCATGCATGGTTCTTAATGTTGTTTTGTTTTGTTTGCTGAGCCGGTAACAGAACCTTTTGTTTTGCTTAATGGACCGGTAAAGAACGCTTTGTTTTGCTTAATGGACCGGTACCAGAATGTTCGCGTTTGGTTCATGGCAATGAACTGCCGGGTCCCAAAGGTTGGCGCTCACGCTTGCCAACGTGGGAACCACAGGTTACCATTGCAAGGAACTGCCGGTTCCCACAGGTTAGAAGTCATGGTTCCCAACCTGGGAACCATGGGTTACCATTGCAAGCAACTGCCGGTTACCAGAGGTTGGAACTCATGCTTCCCAACCTGGGAACCATGGGTTACCATTGCAAGCAACTGCCGGTTACCAGAGGTTGGAACTCATGCTTCCCAACCTGGGAACCATAGGTTACCATTGCAAAGAACTTCCGGTTCCTAAAGGTTGGAACTGACGGTTCCCAACGTGGGAACCAAAGGTTACCATGGCAAGGAACTGCCGGTTCCCAGACCTTGAAACTTACGGTTCCCAACCTGGGAACCAGAGGTTACCTTTGCCAGACTTCGCCACCGCAGTCTGGACAGCACCCTGCACAGCATCCTGCACAGCACCCTGCACAGCACCCTGCACAGCACCCTGCACAGCACCCTGCACAGCACCTTTTTTTGGCCAGAATTCGCCACCGCGTTGCCGACACGCACCATGCACAGCACCCTGGCCACAGCACCCTGCCAGCACCTTTTGCCAGACTTAGCCACCGCAGTCTGGACGCCACCTGCACAGCACCCTGCACAGCACCCTGCACAGCACCTTTGCCAGACTTCGCCACCGCAGTCTGGACAGCACCCTGCACAGCACCCTGCGCAGCACCCTGCACAGCACCCGCACCTTTGCTAGACTTCGCCACCGCAGTCTGGACAGCACCCTGCACAGCACCCTGCACAGCACCCTGCACAGCACCTTCGCCGGACTTCGCCCACCGCAGTACTGGCAAAGCCACCCTTGCGCAACCAGCTGCCAAACAGCACCTTGCCAGACTTCGCCACCGCAGTTCTGGAACTGCCCCCTGCACAGCACCCACAGCACCCTGCCCAGCACACCTGCCACTGCACAGCACCCTGCACAGCACCTTTGCCAGACTTCGCCACCGCAGTCTGCACCCTGCACAGCACCCTGCACAGCACCTTTGCCAGACTTCGCCACCGCAGTCTGGACAACACCCTGCACAGGCACAGCACACCACTTGCACAGCACCCTGCACAGCACCTTTGCCAGACTTCGCCACCGCAGTCTGGACAGCACCCTGCACAGCACCCTGCACAGCACCTTGCCAGACTTCGCCACCGCAGTCTGGACAGCACCCTGCACAGCGCCCTGCACAGCGCTCAAAAGTTCGCCACCGAAGACCCCACCTTTGAGAAGTAAGAACCCCTATAGCTTGCCAGCTATCTGGGGAAATAGCTGAAGGGGAGCCGTACCTCCATGCTGTCAATGTGGCTTGGATTTCACCTACACATGGCTGCCATGTAGGGCAAGACTCTTTGATTCCAGCTTCAGCTCCTGGAGCACCAGTTCAGCGTCCGAGATCTCAAGCAATTTTTCCTGAAGGAAAGTTGCATTGCATCTCAAAGGCGATGAACAAACATCCAACCTGTCATCTAGCCGAATCTTCGGAGCCTTGGCAATCTTGGAGCGATTCTTGGCCAAAATGCCTGGCAAGCGAACTACCCAGAATCGAGACGTCGTTTTTAGGACGAGTCTGCTATTGTCCTTGGCACATCTGGGCGTTATATCACGCTCATATCACCTCATGTCACCCTGGCCGGACAAACTCAGAACTTCCAGCTAAAAATATCGGGAGGACAATCGCAAGGCCACACACTGCAGTGTGGAGAAGGATTTTCATCGAGAGCAACTGGCTATAAAGCTGCCTAGCCCAACCCATCCCCAACCCTCTCGGTCTTCTCTAAATACCGAGTTGCGCAAAGCAGTCCTTGGATGCACAGAAACATGGCTGGACTCCCAAATTTGAATCTATTCTGCCATGACCGAATGATTTGGCCAAGTTTCTGCAGGCGTTTCAATGTCGTGTTCTCTCCTTGGCAATTCTGGTCATCCAGATCCACACTGCACTTTGCTGCATGAATTCATGGCCGAAACATGCCCAGACTCATGGCTCAACGACTCAACGCAGCTTGAAGCTCTCCTTAGAGCCCTGTCCAGCCGAGTCGCTTGATCGGTTCTTCTCCAAAAGATCCAAGAGCTGCTTGAAGACCCACTTCTCTTCAGGCGCAGCTCCGCGCTTGGAGCGTTGCCTAAACAACCACGATATGACCAGTTGGGCACAGCAAAACACAACTCCTGACATGAACGCTAAACTGTTTGAATCCATCAGGGGCATGAAAGCAAACACTTCAAGAGACATCTTGCAAGTCTTGACCGTCCTTCCTCACACCTTCTGTCCTTTTGGCCACTAGAAAGGAGAAACCTGCAGATCTTTCAGATATCCAACTTCTGTGGTTTTCGGAGTCTCATGACATGGTGTCATATCCAACATGATGTCATCTCAATTCAATGTGGACAATTCAGAATTTTCCGAGCGGCTTCGCATGCTCCTGAAGCATTGCGCTGAGCTCTTGATCTGGTAAACACCAGCCCGCACACCGCAGCCACCTGCACAGCTGTCAGAACTTAGCAATCCACCGCCCTTGTCGTTTCAGTTGTGGTCTCCACTGGCAATGGCAATCCATGACCTCTTGGCTTGCTGATGATCCAAAGCACCGCGTTTTTGCTCATCCAGAAGCTCAAAGGCCACCTGCCCCAGGTCTCCACGATTTTGTTCAAACTGACATGATATATATATATATACACATATCACACATATGTAACATATATATATATATGATTATATATGTGTGTGAGTACAATGGATGGACATGTATTCCTATCTAAATAAAGATGCGTATGTAATATAACCTGTGGCCAGGATCAGCGCCTGCAGCTCGGACGCTGAGCTGAGGGTCATCCGCTCGCCCTCAGCGGTTGATGGATGCTTAATAGATGGTTCATGGGTGGGTGGATTCCCAATTCATGATGTCCATGATAATCCATCCATGATAATCCATTGATAATCCAATGATAATCCATGATAATCCATGATAATCCATGATAATCCATGATAATCCATGATAATCCATGATAATCAATGATAATCCATGATAATCCATGATAATCCATGATAATCCATGATAATCCATGATAATCCATGATAATCAATGATAATCCATGATAATCCATGATAATCCATGATAATCCATGATAATCCATGATAATCCATGATAATCCATTGATAATCCATTGATAATCCATTGATAATCCATTGATAATCCATGATAATCCATTGATAATCCATTGATAATCCATTGATAATCCATTGATAATCCATTGATAATCCATTGACAATCCATTGATAATCCATTGATAATCCATTGATAATCCATTGATAATCCATTGATAATCCATTGATAATCCATGATAATCCATGATAATCCATGATAATCCATGATAATCCATGATAATCCATGATAATCCATGATAATCCATGATAACCCATGATAACCCATGATAACCCATGATAATCCATGATAATCCATGATAATCCATGATAATCCATGATAATCCATGAGAATCCATGAGAATCCATGAGAATCCATGAGAATCCATGAGAATCCATGAGAATCCATGAGAATCCATGATAATCCATGATAATCCATGATAATCCATGATAATCCATGATAATCCATGATAATCCATGATAATCCATGATAATCCATGATAATCCATGATAATCCATTGATAATCCATTGATAATCCTTGATAATCCATGATAATCCATGATAATCCATTGATAATCCATTGATAATCCATTGATAATCCATTGATAATCCATTGATAATCCATTGATAAGCCATTGATAATCCATTGATAATCCATTGATAATCCATTGATAATCCATGATAATCCATGATAATCCATGATAATCCATGATAATCCCCAATACAAAAGGTGATGAATCATGAGCCATAATGATCAACCAAGTGGTGTTCTTGAAACTGTTCAAACCTTTACCGAGAGTGGCATGGAAGGCGGGAAAAGGCGATGGATCCAAAGCCACATCACGTGGTGTGGTAGCTTTGGATATGCCGATATGCATTCATATGGACATCCAACCAATTGTGGTCCACCCCATATTGAGAATCTTTATGATCTTTATGGGTATATAAAGCAATCAAACCCTGTGAAAATGGATTGATGACCATACCCATCATACCCGGCATCTGGCCATTGCCGCCACCATTTTTTGGGTCGCGCACTGTAGCTGTAGCAGGGCCCAGATTTTCCCGTTGCACACGGCGACCTCCGGGGTTGGACCCCTAAAATTGGATGGTTCCAACAAAAGAACTGGGCTTTAAAGGTGTAGTATCCGATGGTCGGACCAAGGTCGTGCCGGGTTGTTGGGATTGTTCTACCACAAGACCTGCATCACCCGAGAATCTTTTGGGACCAGTGGTTGGAGTGTCCGCCCCACGTGTCCACTGTGCCAAGATGCCGGAAGGAGCACTGACGACCGTGTTGACCACTGAAGCTGCACTGGCACTCGCACTGGTGGCTCCATGGCGTGACATTCGTGGAGTCTTGCCCGCCATGGACGCAGAGGACCTCTGGTGATGCTCTCTCAATGGATCGCTTGACACATTTTACAACAGGAAAATATGCTGGTTACCAGAGAATACCAGAGAATCTGGGGTCCTTTCTATAATTTGTTCCAGTGCAGTGTCCACTCTTGCACGAAACTCAGCATGCAGTTTCCACAGTGACAACCACTATATACAATGTCAGCAACTCGATTTGCGACCAGGGTGAGCCGAGACACTCTGTTGGAAAGGCATTCTTTTTAAAGCTTTGACAACTGCGATCGACACGAAACAAGCCTGGACAAATATCATGCTTGGCAAAATGCTTGCTGTCTTCATGAGCTTTTTCAATTGCTTCAACCGCTCCTGGTCCTATGTACATGTTGCAACAAGCCACCTGTACCACCGTTCTTCGAAAATGGTGAACCACCATAGACATCCATAGACCATATACATACAGTATATGTATACTGTATACTCAATACATAGGCCAAAATTGCCAAGCTATGAACGGGCAAAACAAAGCTGCAAAGCTGTTCATCACTGTTCATCGAATCGTGTTGAGTTGTTGTTCCAAAGTCTCATTTCACTTCATATGTGAATGTGCCCCTTAAAGGTTTACCGGTGGCTGCGCGAGATTTCCCTGGCCCTTTGGCAGGATCGGATTGCCCTAAGTCCTTGATATCCAGCCAACACTTATCCAATCAATAGATATCAATAGTGCATCAAACAAACAAAAACACGTGCTAATCGAAGGTAGTGATCCAAAAGCTAGCGATTGCAAGGACTTGGCAAAGCTGGGACATTATCTGAGGGGAAAACGCCACCTCTACAACTCCTTTAACGAAAGGAATTGACTGCAGCAGCCTGGAAGGCCACTCTACATTATCCAATCATCCAATCAATGGCACTTTTGCACGCCTGGGCCTGACATGAATCATCACAGCAGTGGGGAAATCAATGCGTTCACACCCATATCAAAATGATGCAAAATGACTCTTTTGAAGCCAGTAGTAGCCCGAATCCATTCCGACGCTGGTGAGCTGGGTGAATAGCAAGAAACCATCCTATCCTCACCATGATTCCTAGATGTTCCTAGTCAATATTAGATTCTATCAACATGACTGAGGACAGTTCCTTTGCCGTGAAATGCTAGGTCTAGAAGTCCACCAAAGCTGACCTGTGCATGGTTAGAGAATCACATGCTGTCTGAAGCCACAATTCATCGATTTTGCTGCAGTTCACCTCGACCCAATTGCACGTGTTGGAGCAGCGAAGCCCGCTGGAAGCTGCGTCGTCTGAGATGCCCACATGGCTTGAGCTTCTGTGTAGTCCTCCTGCCATAGCCGGCCATGGCGATAGCAAGATGCAAGACTGGCTTCGGCACTCATGTCCGACATTAATTTATGAGTGTTACTGTAAGTCAAGTGTAATCATCTGCCAAATTACTAGCATCTGTTGACCTGAACTTTTCCGATGCATTCTTCTCTTCGAGAGTTCATCGTCTTCCCGTCCCATTGGGCCTCGCCGCGCTTGTGCTTCTTTTCTTTTTTTTCTTCTTGTGCTTTTCTTCAGCACCCAAATCCTCGAATGTAGCGCTCTGTGCAAATCACTCAAGGATAAAAGGTATTAAGGTATGGTTCAGAGTCTCACATGTGCTAACACTACAACACTATGTCACTACGTGGTGAATGCGAACTGAGACTTGGAGAAGTTTGGCTCCAAGACTAAGTGGAATGGAATACTACTGGGACAATGACTGAAACTTGCCATGACATCAGGAGGCGGAGCATCCAAAACATTCCGAAACTGTCTAGGTCCCAAAACCAGCACACTTCCCAAACTGTTTGCACGACCTGATTCCTGACGGCGTTGACGTGTGCTGTTTGAGGTTGAGCGTGGTCGAAGTACTTTGGTCAAAGTCAAGATAGTCAAATGATTCAAAAGTTGCCAAATGTTGCCATTCTGGGCACAAAACTATACGAAACCCATGTAGAATTAGAAGGTTGGGCCTCTGCAAGGCCATGGCCAGAGAACAACCCTTCACATCCAAAAATAACTGCATCTGTGCGGCGTAGGGATTGACTTCGTCGTCTTCAAAGGGATCTGTGCTTTCCTTTTGCCGCTTCTTCTCCCTTAGGCGAAGAATTTCCGAAAGCAAACAGAGACAGAGAGTGGAGCAGACATCCTTCAGCTGTTATGAAAAAAGAAAAACGTGAATCGTACTATGGGAAGAAAGTCGCGGATAGGAAGATTGCACTTCCTGCAGCTTTATGTATCTGTATACACAAGGATGGTAAATCTATTCGCACTAATTAGGTCGAATCCACAGCGAACAATCCCAGCACGGTAAAATACTCCAAATATGGTTGCAAACATTACCGCTTCTCATTTTCCAAAAGACAGCACTTCATCGAAAGTCACCGTTTGAATACAGAACTCATTGTAACTCATGAATTGGTCTGGTACCCTTAAACTCCATTCTGTGTTCCCGGCTTCTTCTCCTGACGTTCGAGCTTCGGTAGAGATATTGAAGCTAAAACACAGGGAACAGGCCTAGTCCTACGCGATAGGTCCAGACATTGCAAAAGGTCAACGTGCTTTTCCACAGGCACTTGATTCGCCCAGCATTGGCCGAGCTCCTTCTTCTCCCTCTTCTTTTCCTTCTTCAGCCGCTTGAAGTACTCCATGTCTGTGCCAGGGTCAATTCATACCAAACATGTATGTTTCTTAACAACTGCTGGACACACATGAAGCATGAACACGTCTACGCAAAATCTATACGCAAGATTGCACCAGTCAGATCTTCAAATTTGACAGGCTGGTGCAAGTTGTAGGTAAAGTGCCATGGCGCCCGCATTCAACCCTTGTTTTTCTGCCCTTCTTCGCTTCATGCCCGAGAATGTATCAAAGCCACAGCTGATGCAGTAACAATGCATCTGCAAGGCTGCTATTGTGGCTACAAGGGGCACAAAATTTGCCTTGTTTCAAAGGCTGCATAATTCCATGCAGTACATTAAATTGGGAGTGCCTTGCAAGACCTAATCAGAGGTGGTGGTAGCTTCAGACTCCCATGGCATTTGCTTGGCCTTCATGTCACCCAGCCTCATGCAGCATCCAAGTCTGGGGAAGCAGTTGAGGAAGCATACGTTCAGCATGCAAGGCACTTCATCATCGGGTGGGAATGCGGATCCCGTCACGCAGCAGAAGAACTGGCCCTGTGCTTTGCAGCATGTCGTGAGGTCGACACATCGGAATGCACAGCATCCACAGCACAAGCAAGGTGCGCCAGTCTTGCAGCAAAGGTCGCACTCAAGGCAAAGGACGGTTTTCTGTGCTGCACATCCAATGTGGTGCACTTCAGGCACACAACCGTCGTAGCAGCAGCAGCAAGCATGGTGCACAATCACCTTGGACTCGTCAATGGAGTCAAAGTCCATCCTAGCCTGCTCTGGGGCCGACATCTTGCTACGGATGAAAGAGTTGTCGCCTGGAAGACCTTTAAAGCTGCTGGTGGTCTGACTTGACCCAAAATGGCTGCAATCCTCTGAAATTGGAGGCCAGCAGCTTGCGTTTCTACAAGCTCACAGTGACCCCATTGACTCGAGTTCAAACAGAAAAAATGCGAAATGTGAAACTTGGAACGAAGTGCAGGGTGATCAAGCAAACTCACGTTCCTTTGGATTTCCTCATTTCTTTTGCCCTGTTGCAGAATGACAAAGCCTGAGAAAGCCAATCAAAACAATCAAAAGATCAACCTTCACACAAGTCAAAACAGTAAAGCCTCTCCTTGGTCTCCTGTTTCCTGCCTTTCCCTGCTTTCTTGCTGCTTGTTGTCTTCAACCAACACGGATCAACACGGTATTTTTTGAGAGTAACCCTCTGGCAACAGTTCTACACCTCGCCCCTTTTTTGCTCACGTGTTCACTTCGTACCCGTGTGCAAAAGCCAGAGCTGATGCGATAAAAATACATCTGCAAGGCTGCTAAGCGGATTTCTCGAACCCTTGTGGCTACAAGGGGCACAAAATTTGCCTTGTTTCAAAGGCTGCCTAATTCCATGCAATACAGTAAATTGGGAGTGCCTTGCAAGACCTAATCAGAGGTGGTGGTAGCTTCAGACTCCCATGGCATTTGCTTGGCCTTCATGTCACCCAGCCTCATGCAGCATCCAAGTCTGGGGAAGCAATTGAGGAAGCATACGTTCAGCATGCAAGGCACTTCATCATCGGGTGGGAATGCGGATCCCGTCACGCAGCAGAAGAACTGGCCCTGTGCTTTGCAGCATGTCGTGAGGTCGACACATCGGAATGCACAACATCCACAGCACAAGCAAGGTGCGCCAGTCTTGCAGCAAAGGTCGCACTCAAGGCAAAGGACGGTTTTCTGTGCTGCACATCCAATGTGGTGCACTTCAGGCACACAACCGTCGTAGCAGCAGCAGCAAGCATGGTGCACAATCACCTTGGACTCGTCAATGGAGTCAAAGTCCATCCTAGCCTGCTCTGGGGTCGACATCTTGCTACGGATGAAAGAGTTGTCGCCTGGAAGACCTTTAAAACTGCTGGTGGTCTGACTTGACCCAAAATGGCTGCAATCCTCTGAAATTGGAGGCCAGCAGCTTGCGTTTCTACAAGCTCACAGTGACCCCATTGACTCGAGTTCAAACAAAAAAAATGTGAAATGTGAAACTTGGAACGAAGTGCAGGGTGATCAAGCAAACTCACGTTCCTTTGGATTTCCTCATTTCTTTTGCCCTGTTGCAGAATGACAAAGCCTGAGAGAGCCAATCAAAACAATCAAAAGATCAACCTTCACACAAGTCAAAACAGTAAAGCCTCTCCTTGGTCTCCTGTTTCCTGCCTTTCCCTGCTTTCTTGCTGCTTGTTGTCTTCAGCCAACACGGATCAACACGGTATTTTTTGAGAGTAACCCTCTGGCAACAGTTCTACACCTCTCGCCCTTTTTTTGCTCACGTGTTCACTTCGTACCCGTGTGCAAAAGCCAGAGCTGATGCGATAAAGATGCATCTGCAAGGCTGCTAAGCGGATTTCTCGAACCCTTGTGGCTACAAGGGGCACAAAATTTGCCTTGCTTCAAAGGCTGCATAATTCCATGCAGTACATTAAATTGTGAGTGCCTTGCAAGACCTAATCAGAGGTGGTGGTAGCTTCAGACTCCCATGGCATTTGCTTGGCCTTCATGTCACCCAGCCTCATGCAGCATCCAAGTCTGGGGAAGCAATTGAGGAAGCATACGTTCAGCATGCAAGGCACTTCATCATCGGGTGGGAATGCGGATCCCGTCACGCAGCAGAAGAACTGGCCCTGTGCTTTGCAGCATGTCGTGAGGTCGACACATCGGAATGCACAGCATCCACAGCACAAGCAAGGTGCGCCAGTCTTGCAGCAAAGGTCGCACTCAAGGCAAAGGACGGTTTTCTGTGCTGCACATCCAATGTGGTGCACTTCAGGCACACAACCGTCGTAGCAGCAGCAGCAAGCATGGTGCACAATCACCTTGGACTCGTCAATGGAGTCAAAGTCCATCCTAGCCTGCTCTGGGGCCGACATCTTGCTACGGATGAAAGAGTTGTCGCCTGGAAGACCTTTAAAACTGCTGGTGGTCTGACTTGACCCAAAATGGCTGCAATCCTCTGAAATTGGAGGCCAGCAGCTTGCGTTTCTACAGACTCACAGTGACCCCATTGACTCGAGTTCAAACAAAAAAAATGTGAAATGTGAAACTTGGAACGAAGTGCAGGGTGATCAAGCAAACTCACGTTCCTTTGGATTTCCTCATTTCTTTTGCCCTGTTGCAGAATGACAAGGCTGAGAACGCAATCACAAGAACAAAACGTGACAAATGTCAATCATGGTCAAGCCGTCCAAGATTCAACGCTGTAGCCCATCCTTTTGTCAGAGGTAATGCAATCACAAATGCATGTGCTTAGCTTAAAAGTCAATCTCTCAAACCCTTGTGGTTGCCATGGTCTCAAAATCCGCCTCGCTTCAAAGGCGTCGTAATTCCGTGCAGTACATTAAATTGGGAGTTTGAAAGACTGGTCCTATGCTGTGGCTTCAGACTCCCATGGCATTTGCTTGGCCTTCATGTCACCCAGCCTCATGCAGCATCCAAGTCTGGGGAAGCAATTGAGGAAGCATACGTTCAGCATGCAAGGCACTTCATCATCGGGTGGGAATGCGGATCCCGTCACGCAGCAGAAGAACTGGCCCTGTGCTTTGCAGCATGTCGTGAGGTCGACACATCGGAATGCACAGCATCCACAGCACAAGCAAGGTGCGCCAGTCTTGCAGCAAAGGTCGCACTCAAGGCAAAGGACGGTTTTCTGTGCTGCACATCCAATGTGGTGCACTTCAGGCACACAACCGTCGTAGCAGCAGCAGCAAGCATGGTGCACAATCACCTTGGACTCGTCAATGGAGTCAAAGTCCATCCTAGCCTGCTCTGGGGCCGACATCTTGCTACGGATGAAAGAGTTGTCGCCTGGAAGACCTTTAAAACTGCTGGTGGTCTGACTTGACCCAAAATGGCTGCAATCCTCTGAAATTGGAGGCCAGCAGCTTGCGTTTCTACAAGCTCACAGTGACCCCATTGACTCGAGTTCAAACAAAAAAAATGTGAAATGTGAAACTTGGAACGAAGTGCAGGGTGATCAAGCAAACTCACGTTCCTTTGGATTTCCTCATTTCTTTTGCCCTGTTGCAGAATGACAAGGCTGAGAAACGCAATCACAAGAACAAAACGTGACAAATGTCAATCATGGTCAAACCGTCCAAGATTCAACGCTGTAGCCCATCCTTTTGTCAGAGGTGATGCAATCACAAATGCATGTGCTTGGCTTAAAAGTCAATCTCTCAAACCCTTGTGGTTGCCATGGTCTCAAAATCCGCCTCGCTTCAAAGGCGTCGTAATTCCGTGCATGACACTAAATTGGGAGTTTGAAAGACTGGTCCTATGCTGTGGCTTCAGACTCCCATGGCATTTGCTTGGCCTTCATGTCACCCAGCCTCATGCAGCATCCAAGTCTGGGGAAGCAATTGAGGAAGCATACGTTCAGCATGCAAGGCACTTCATCATCGGGTGGGAATGCGGATCCCGTCACGCAGCAGAAGAACTGGCCCTGTGCTTTGCAGCATGTCGTGAGGTCGACACATCGGAATGCACAGCATCCACAGCACAAGCAAGGTGCGCCAGTCTTGCAGCAAAGGTCGCACTCAAGGCAAAGGACGGTTTTCTGTGCTGCACATCCAATGTGGTGCACTTCAGGCACACAACCGTCGTAGCAGCAGCAGCAAGCATGGTGCACAATCACCTTGGACTCGTCAATGGAGTCAAAGTCCATCCTAGCCTGCTCTGGGGCCGACATCTTGCTACGGATGAAAGAGTTGTCGCCTGGAAGACCTTTCAAACTGCTGGTGGTCTGACTTGACCCAAAATGGCTGCAATCCTCTGAAATTGGAGGCCAGCAGCTTGCGTTTCTACAAGCTCACCAAAAAAATGTGAAATGTGAAACTTGGAACGAAGTGCAGGGTGATCAAGCAAACTCACGTTCCTTTGGATTTCCTCATTTCTTTTGCCCTGTTGCAGAATGACAAGGCTGAGAAACGCAATCACAAGAACAAAACGTGACAAATGTCAATCATGGTCAAACCGTCCAAGATTCAACGCTGTAGCCCATCCTTTTGTCAGAGGTGATGCAATCACAAATGCATGTGCTTAGCTTAAAAGTCAATCTCTCAAACCCTTGTGGTTGCCATGGTCTCAAAATCCGCCTCGCTTCAAAGGCGTCGTAATTCCGTGCATGACACTAAATTGGGAGTTTGAAAGACTGGTCCTATGCTGTGGCTTCAGACTCCCATGGCATTTGCTTGGCCTTCATGTCACCCAGCCTCATGCAGCATCCAAGTCTGGGGAAGCAATTGAGGAAGCATACGTTCAGCATGCAAGGCACTTCATCATCGGGTGGGAATGCGGATCCCGTCACGCAGCAGAAGAACTGGCCCTGTGCTTTGCAGCATGTCGTGAGGTCGACACATCGGAATGCACAGCATCCACAGCACAAGCAAGGTGCGCCAGTCTTGCAGCAAAGGTCGCACTCAAGGCAAAGGACGGTTTTCTGTGCTGCACATCCAATGTGGTGCACTTCAGGCACACAACCGTCGTAGCAGCAGCAGCAAGCATGGTGCACAATCACCTTGGACTCGTCAATGGAGTCAAAGTCCATCCTAGCCTGCTCTGGGGCCGACATCTTGCTACGGATGAAAGAGTTGTCGCCTGGAAGACCTTTCAAACTGCTGGTGGTCTGACTTGACCCAAAATGGCTGCAATCCTCTGAAATTGGAGGCCAGCAGCTTGCGTTTCTACAAGCTCACAGTGACCCCATTGACTCGAGTTCAAAAAAAAAAATGTGAAATGTGAAACTTGGAACGAAGTGTAGGGTGATCAAGCAAACTCACGTTCCTTTGGATTTCCTCATTTCTTTTGCCCTGTTGCAGAATGACAAGGCTGAGAAACGCAATCACAAGAACAAAACGTGACAAATGTCAATCATGGTCAAACCGTCCAAGATTCAACGCTGTAGCCCATCCTTTTGTCAGAGGTGATGCAATCACAAATGCATGTGCTTAGCTTAAAAGTCAATCTCTCAAACCCTTGTGGTTGCCATGGTCTCAAAATCCGCCTCGCTTCAAAGGCGTCGTAATTCCGTGCAGTACATTAAATTGGGAGTTTGAAAGACTGGTCCTATGCTGTGGCTTCAGACTCCCATGGCATTTGCTTGGCCTTCATGTCACCCAGCCTCATGCAGCATCCAAGTCTGGGGAAGCAATTGAGGAAGCATACGTTCAGCATGCAAGGCACTTCATCATCGGGTGGGAATGCGGATCCCGTCACGCAGCAGAAGAACTGGCCCTGTGCTTTGCAGCATGTCGTGAGGTCGACACATCGGAATGCACAGCATCCACAGCACAAGCAAGGTGCGCCAGTCTTGCAGCAAAGGTCGCACTCAAGGCAAAGGACGGTTTTCTGTGCTGCACATCCAATGTGGTGCACTTCAGGCACACAACCGTCGTAGCAGCAGCAGCAAGCATGGTGCACAATCACCTTGGACTCGTCAATGGAGTCAAAGTCCATCCTAGCCTGCTCTGGGGCCGACATCTTGCTACGGATGAAAGAGTTGTCGCCTGGAAGACCTTTAAAACTGCTGGTGGTCTGACTTGACCCAAAATGGCTGCAATCCTCTGAAATTGGAGGCCAGCAGCTTGCGTTTCTACAGACTCACAGTGACCCCATTGACTCGAGTTCAAACAAAAAAAATGTGAAATGTGAAACTTGGAACGAAGTGCAGGGTGATCAAGCAAACTCACGTTCCTTTGGATTTCCTCATTTCTTTTGCCCTGTTGCAGAATGACAAGGCTGAGAAACGCAATCACAAGAACAAAACGTGACAAATGTCAATCATGGTCAAACCGTCCAAGATTCAACGCTGTAGCCCATCCTTTTGTCAGAGGTGATGCAATCACAAATGCATGTGCTTGGCTTAAAAGTCAATCTCTCAAACCCTTGTGGTTGCCATGGTCTCAAAATCCGCCTCGCTTCAAAGGCGTCGTAATTCCGTGCATGACACTAAATTGGGAGTTTGAAAGACTGGTCCTATGCTGTGGCTTCAGACTCCCATGGCATTTGCTTGGCCTTCATGTCACCCAGCCTCATGCAGCATCCAAGTCTGGGGAAGCAATTGAGGAAGCATACGTTCAGCATGCAAGGCACTTCATCATCGGGTGGGAATGCGGATCCCGTCACGCAGCAGAAGAACTGGCCCTGTGCTTTGCAGCATGTCGTGAGGTCGACACATCGGAATGCACAGCATCCACAGCACAAGCAAGGTGCGCCAGTCTTGCAGCAAAGGTCGCACTCAAGGCAAAGGACGGTTTTCTGTGCTGCACATCCAATGTGGTGCACTTCAGGCACACAACCGTCGTAGCAGCAGCAGCAAGCATGGTGCACAATCACCTTGGACTCGTCAATGGAGTCAAAGTCCATCCTAGCCTGCTCTGGGGCTGACATCTTGCTACGGATGAAAGAGTTGTCGCCTGGAAGACCTTTAAAACTGCTGGTGGTCTGACTTGACCCAAAATGGCTTCAGTAGCTTCACTCAAGCAAAGCTTCTGTCGGAAGTGTTGTTGGTGCTTACTGACCAGCATCACTGAACTATTAGTAACTATGGCTGAACTGGCTGAACGATGACCAAATGTCCACCTTCATGATTCCCCACCTTCGTACTCCTTGCCGAAGATGGTCACTGCCAAATTTTCTTCTTCTGGCTCAGGTTCTGATGCCAAGTCCTCATGGCCACAAAATCGCCGGGGTGAATTGGAAACAACCTGGGTAATGAATCGGTAATGAAGGTAAACCCAATGTAAACCCAATGAAAAATCGGGTTTTGAATTAGTATACCGATATACCTCATTATTATCATTATCTATCATCTCTCAAGATTGGAGACCCACAAGAAGTGATTGGGATGCAAAACCAAAAAGTTTTGGGCCGCAACTGCAACCAATTCTGACATGAGTCCGTTGGAAACTACCCGCTATTGACAAAACCACAGTTGGACCATTGGACTGCTTGCATCACAGAAGTTTACACAGAAAGACACACGCTTGCCCATCCACGTACACATCCTTTATACGCACCCCTTCTGCACACACACACACACACACGCACACTACATCCAGATCTTTTTATCTATATCTCTACATCTTTGTCATTGTTGATCTGTAAGTTAAGCCACTAGACGAGCAAGGCCCTGCAAGGCTACGATGTCATCACCCCCACGCCATGTCTACGTCTACAGTCCGTCGACGCGTGGCTTTCTGAGCTGTCTGTCAACCTCAGGACGTGCCCCTGCGTGGAGGATCACAGCTAGGAAGTGCTTTATAACCCCGATTCGGAAGTCCCCTAATGGGGTTTTCCCATACATATCAAAATAAATGGGTTGTATTATATATATATACACTCTAAATATATATGACATACACATGACATATTGGCTGATTGATGCTGATTGACATATTGTTATAACAAGGGTTACCAACCAGTTACTAAGTGGGATGATGATCCAAGTGGGACGACACCTTCCCCTTTTGAGCCAACGACCCCTGCTCATTGAAGTTGGCCGTCAAATCCATCAGCTTGAAAGCTGACTGATATGTTGGATGAACCTTTGATAGCACCGGTTCCATCCCTTCGGATCAGCCCGGGCCAGACAGAACTGGTCTGTCGTGACAAGGGATACCTTTTGGAGGACACTTGACATCTGGATTTGCCGGTTAACAACATTAGCAACTAAGTTGGAAGCCCTGGGCTGGTAGGAGGCGACGATTCGACGCTGCAAACGTGCCTCGCGTCGGATAAACATGCCTTGTCCTCCAGAAATCTAGTTGGGTAGTTGCTATTGCACAAGCTCTTGGCAAAATGTTCGTTGGAAGTGTGCTTACTGTTCTTACTGCTTACAACTACAAGTACTTGGCAGCTTTGGCAGAGGGTACAAAATTCAACACAGGAGCATCTGCATGACAAGACTTTGGGTGATCGTGCTTGTCTGAATTATCTAGCTACTTTGACTAAGATTCTGTTTCACCAGGTTCTACTTGTATTGTTGGCAGCTGTGCAGACTCTAGAAAAAATATGCGCGTCGGAAACTTAATCTGGTGTGCTTACATTTCAACAAATTGCTTAAAATGCTGTGCAAAATTGGAAATGCTTCCCGCAATCTGCTTATATTTGTTGCGCGGATAGCCATGCAGCAGTTCCTGCCTTCACGACATCGTCGTAAAGATACCCAGTCTGCCCGAATGCAAGGGGTCAAAGGGGGCAAAATTAGATGTTGTTCTTCATTCTTTGATGACAATCACATAAAATTAATCAAAATTACATCAATATGTTGGAATCTATATTAATATATTAATAAAGCTTCAATTAGTTCTCGCTACGCCATCAGTTCTCGCTACGCCCACAATATGGCCTTGGATCTGCAACGTCTGCAAAGAACCATCAGAATGGACCTAGCCCGCGCGTTAAACGGACAGCGTTACCGTACCCTGAGTTTCATTGATTTGAACATTGCTTGGATGTTGAAACGACTCCACCTGACAATGGTGAGGTTTGGCAGTATCACCAAACATCCAACCTGGGTGAAGTGAGGCTGGCATAGTCATGTCAGCTATGTCCACATTTCGTTGATCTTACCACCTGAACCGGAAACATGCCCCAGTTGCACCTTTCAGCATTAAAAAGAAGCCATTTGGGCTGCCCAACTGCTGAAAGTCCAGGGAGAAAGGAGAAGAACCATGCACCAGGGTCTCGCAGAGCTGAAGTTGCAACATTCAATGGGTTGGTTTGAAGATTGAAGAGGAAACTAAGGAAACCATGGAATCTACGAATCTACCATCTATTGAGGGGGTGTCCTGCAAATTTCCCTCGAAGAAGAACTTTGAGACATTGACTATACCATTGACCACGTCCCTAATCATATCTCAAGCATCTTGATCTGGCGCATGGCATCCACAGGAACCAAAATGAAGATGAAAAGAGCTTGTGGAAAGGTGAATTCAGAGCCGAACTGCAGGTTGGGTTGACAAAGAGCTCAAACATGCCAAAGATTTCCCTCAGGACAGATTGAAGACTTTCATAGATTTCCTACAACAAGCAAGTGTTCAGCTGCTACGAGTGAAAGTAGGCAGGTCCAAAATGCAACCAGCACAACAGCAGATTGTCCAACTGGGTATTCTTTCCAGCTAAGAACTCTGCTGATAATACTGCGCGCGCAGTGACGAAACATCGCTCTCGTCAAAACTACCTCATACAGCAAATCATACAGCAAATCATAAGCTGTTTGCTCTTTACCAGCTCCCTGATCTCGACTTTTAGAAACGCGTTTAGTTTCACGACAAAGGAACAGTGTGATAAAGATTACACTCCGCCGGCACTCTCCAATATGTTTTGCAAACAGAGTGACTCCTCCGAGTTTGGAGTACATGAGCCAGTGACAATACCTATCTACAATGGGTAATAGGGTAATAGTGTTGGTCCCACTCTATGGACTCAAAATGGTTAGGTTTTATAGATTTTTATAGAGTCATATTGAGTCAACCTCCATTCAGCTCCCAGCATCCTGCCACATCAGAGGTAAAGAGGGTCCTGAGAGCATCCCACGTCACGAATTTCACCCTTGCACCAGGCAGTAGTCTGCGATGTCAGTAGCTGAGCTCTCTGCGGATGCACCCAAACTAAAATGCTGGTGGCCTTCGCAAGATCGTGGTTAAAGGTGGTTGTTGCTTCGACAAAATTCCTATCACATGTCAAATCATGTCAAAAAGCAATGTCTAGTTATAATATTTATAGATTATTTATAGCACTTTCTGATGCATTAGCAAAGCCCGCTATCCACGACTACTGTGTCATTTGTTTCCAATCTGAGTCAGCCACGGAGCGGAAGACAAGTGCCATCAACAAATGATTCACCTGCCATCCAAGAATCATCCAAGAAGCCCGGAATCCTTACTGGTTGGTTAATAGTGATCCCCATAATAGATGATATTATATATATATGTATATATATATATATGTGCTATATTATATGTGTATATATATATATGTGTGTGTGTTATATTTATTTATATATATATGTGTGTTAAATATGTATGTGTTTTATATATATGTGTGTGTGTGTTAAATGTATGTGTCATATATATATATAATATGTATACCGTATATTACGCCGTATATATATATATATATGTTATATATATATATATATATCTATATGAATTACATTTTGGGTGCTATAAACCCCGAACAAATGATCAACAAACAACTCTCTTTGTCAACTCATCTGTCAGCTCAGGCCGGTGGAGCCGCAACCCTGGCAATGACTTCGTCGTACATGGCCGGGCGCCGGCAATGTCGGAGGAAGATGAACCAGTCAACGAGATAGCCTCAGCGGATCGGGGTGCAATTCACTGCAGAAATCTCAAGAGTTGCTTCTGGCTTCAAGAGTTGCGAATGAGTCTTGAAAAAAACAACGAGTAGATACAAGATGATACAAGTAGTATCACCATGATGGTCATGTATCACCTCATTTGTGGATCCAGGCTTTTGGTCGACTTCACTGGGATCAACACTGCTCTGATCCTGTTTCACTGCAACAAGGCTATGCGATCCGTTTTCTGGGCAAGCCCCACGTGTGAGGCAGGAGGCTGCTGCCAGGACATTCCTTATGCCCATCTGCCCCGTCAAATCCGAATCCTCCCGTTTCTAGTGGCTTGAAGTCTATCAAGTCGAACCGGCACGACGGCTTTTTTTGAGAAGAAATCTAGGTGTTTAAGCTATTTATGATGGTACAGCTTCAGCCTCTTCATTGAACCATCCACTGCTGCTAGAGAGTCATACATTTCTCACAGGACGAACGCTGCGATTTTCTCATTGTTGCTGGCAATTGTGCTGGCAAAAAGATGCAAAAACCATGGTGAAGAGCAGGTCCAAGATGCAGCAACGGTAGCGCAGGTCCAAAGATCATTGCAATGCTTGCGGTGACCGTCACCTCTGCCTGTAGCTAGGAACAAGTCTCAGAATGAGTCTCTGTGGACAGTAATGCGCAAAAGCATACTTATAATATATACAGTATATATATATTATGATATCAATACTGCTGGTCTTTCTTCATTGCATTTCAGGCATTGACATTGTTCTGCACCATCATGTTTGACTCATGGAGTCACAACCCAACATCTGGACTTTCATCTGCCAAATGTTCTCTCAGTGCCCAACAAATCCTTCAGCAATTCGAAACCTTGGAATGTTTGAAGGTTCCGGTTCTTGTGATAAGCTGATGAGCCAAGCTCATCAGAAAGTATTGTACGAGATTGATCAAGATTGCACGTTCCAGTGTGTGTCTGAAAGACCAACTGGACTGTCTCATCTGTTGGATTTTTGCCGCAGTATGTACCGTTGCCACGTTCAGAAAATCGGGTAGCAAACTGCTTTGCGTTACATGCAATGCCAAGGCCGCTGCTCAGGGTTCACATACAGATTCTTGAGGTCTTCCTGCCAAAGCAAGGACCAGTTCAAGTCAATCACCAACATCATTTGCAGCACAGTTGCAAATGTTGCAAAGGATATTATTTAATATAATCTATTTAAGTATATAATAGTATATAGACTAATTATATAGACTGATATAGACTGATGAAATTCTGACAACTGCATGGCAAATCCAGCAATAACTCCACACCACTGCCCCCGTGCAGGCCCTGGCACCTGTGAGATCGTCTTCCGTGCCTACGCGGTGTCTTTCGTGAAAAGGGCCCCCCCCATTGATGCCTTGTGATCCCTCATGAATATTCATGAATAGCACGCCGAATATCTCCACATATCTCCACCATATGCATTGCTTTCTGCGCGAAAACCAGGCCTTGCATCTGCGATTGCATTTCCGGCACCAAACGTTCAAGAGATCGGGAACCTGACGATGCGAAACCTGCTTTCCATTGCTTCAGTGTTCGTATGGCACAGCCTTAAGAATTCAGGTTGCCAAAGGATAGCAATTAAAATCACTGTATAGTCCGTATATGTCCATATAGTATAGCAATGTTGGAGGTGTTCAATTGTGATAGTTTCTCAAACTGCCAACTCACAGTATCACCTGGTGCCCTGGCGCCCTGCCTGCGGGATAAACACCCGAAAGGCCATAGCCAAAGTGATGACATTACCCACCCAACCATGCCACTCCCTGACAGCCACGGATTTTGGAATGGCCAGCATCCACCCAAAACATCCCAAGGGCATTCATCATTCTGAATCCTACCTGAGTCCTACCTGAATCCTACCTGAATCCTATACAAATACTTTGGCAGGCGTCAGGCGAAGTGCCCACTGCACTTAAGCAAATGTGACGTGCATTCGGCATCAGCATTCAGCTGCACCTCATAGAAATGCCACCTGAGCCCCGTTGTGGCCCCGTTGCCCCGTTGCAGAGATAGAACGAAGTGAGCCACTGAGCCCACAGAGGCCATCTGAGGAATGGAGCCATGTGGGGTTGTTCCAATCTCCAACTCGCGCTTGACCCATGCCCAAAGAGCCTGGACCCACTGGAGACTCATGAAGCGCTTCGAAAAAAAAAAACAAAAACAACTGTCTTGACGGTCTTGAGTAAAATTTCACCTACAAAGTCATAGTGAGATGGGAAGCAATGAATCAACAAGAGAAAAGCGAATGCTTCTTGTCTGTGACCAGCATGCAGAAATGAAAATGCGAAAGCTGCCGGTAGCAGACCCAGAAAATGCTTTGTGACTCAGACCCTGACTGGTATGGTACAACTCACAAAGGCCGGCATCAAGGCTGTGTTTACAATCCTAAAGCTTCAAGACGAGCAAAGACTGTACAACTCACTGCGTCTGGTTCCAAAGGTCACAATTCCTAGCGTTCAACAAACTTTATCTTCAGTGACAATTTGCACGCCAAAGAAACAAACGTGAAGAGCAACTGGGGAATCACTGTCTAAAGCTCAGCCCCGAGCCAGAACCAAAAGAGATTCCTCAGCGTCATTGGAACAGCCAGCGTGCAAACAGATACAAAAATGTGGCAACCATCCCAGAATGATTGCTCTGGGATGGTTGCCATATGTTGCCATTCAAGTCCAAAAATCTCTTGAGAGGATGGTCTGAAGGCAAACATCACAATGTGTCACAACTGCCATCAGCCTCTTCCATCAGATGCAACTAGTGCAACTAGTGCAACCAAGAAGCTTGAAATGTTTCACCAACCGCGTGGTTTCATCCTGTATCAAGGCATCCATCGCGAGGAACCCCGCAACCCTTCAACCCTTTGCAGCAAAGCTGTGGACCTTGTAGCGCACTGTGGTGGAGGTGCCACGGATGGTCGCCTTGAAATGGTGACCCCAACTGACCCTGACCTATAGTTAATCCATGTTAATCCCTCTGAATAGAAGATCTTGGGTAAATCTTGGGTATATCATTGTGTTTCATGTTCAAATCCATACTCTTCACACTGATCTGCAATGCTTCAGCCTCAAAGAGCTCATTGAAGACCACGATCACTGCCACACGGATCCAGGACTCAGCATTCCAAGAACAAACATCTGGTACTGAATGCTTCTAGTGGAAAATCATATGGAAAATCCATGAAAATCCTCAAATTGATGTAGCTGTGGAAAGTAAGGAGGTCCATCAATGTTCAAACCCCCTCACTCCACCAAGGCCCAAGACTCGATGGTAGTTCCCCTGCGACATCTCAGTGAACTCAGAACCTTGGCCAAGGAAACTTCACATCCAAGAAGTCTAAGTGGGGATGAATTGCTTGAACTATGTTGATTTGTTTTTCCGGTTGCAATGTTGGCATGCATCATTTTTTTCAGTTGGGTGCAACAGAAAATGTGATAAGACCGATAGGATTTGGGGAGTTTTCTATGATTTTTTTCTATATAAGACGTTCTGATTCATTCTGAATCAAGTGAGGATCTCTTAGTTTGTCCGAGCGGCACATGATGTAGCGCTCGTCATCTTCTGCCAGTGCGAGCATCACCTGGCAAGTGAGATGTCAGCTACCTATATGTTTCTGCTGCAGATGTTGCAAGTCTTGAGCTTGACCATGCTTCGCCCTGAAACTGGACACACAAGCCATGTCAACGTCTCTTGCGGTACCTGCGGCTCCAAATACATTCGCTGAATACAGTAGCACCTGCATCCGCAATGCAGGAATGGTTCCATGGATTGAGTCATTATTTAGCTCCGCTAGTGGGTCAAAAGAACAGTCGAGCTCCAGACATGACGATCGTAGACGTGGGGTCACTCGCATAGGCAAGTTCAGCAGTTGACAAACCTAGGAGGTGCAAAGCGCAAAAAAGGTCAGGCTGCCGAGTCTCTCAACTTTGGATTCTTGTGCAGCAGTGGCAAGCACCTACTGTTACCTGCTGGCTTGAATGCTGAGCCAGCCAAAGCCGCTGAACAGTCTCTGTCGCATTAAAATCACGCTTCCTGATATGCTTTCTTATCCTCAAATGCCTGAGATATCAATTTGAAATCGCCTGCGAGTGGTACGAGTACAGTAACCCATGCAGCATGCCTTGAAAATCATAATATGACTACTCTCCAAATTCACGAGGGAAACAAAAAGAAAGTGCTGGAACCGCTTGCATACCATTGTAAGGAAACCAGTGTTGCAATATGTTGCAATGGTGTCAATCATGCATTGCGCATATGTTTTCCTCATTTTTCTTCTATCCCGCATCATTGTGAGCATTACGCTCTTCAGCCACTGAAGCGCGCACCAATGATCTCGTAGTTCTGGAGCTCCGGGCCAACCGACTGCAGCGGATGTAACATGATGTAACTGTCCATTTCCCATTGCATGGTATGGTTGAAAAATCCACTGGACAGTTACTGGCTGTTTAGATTGATGTTACTGGTAGATTGTATGGTTTCTACTGGCTGTTTGCCTGTCAGCTGGGTTTCGCACACACTTTTTCTCAGAGAAGACCGCACTCCCTTGGACATGATCGACGTCCATTTTCAAAAAGGGCCTCAGATGCGTGCTTTGAATCCAAAGCATGTGTTCATCTTGAGCCCCAAGTCTGTCTGACACCACAAAGCTCAAAGGCTGTAGAATATTCCAACAATTGCGACAGTTGCAACAGTTGCCACTTGCGGCCAGAGATTGTCTTTGCAGCTGGATTCATGGTCATTGTTGCCCCTAATTGAACCCCCCACCAACATGTCCAATGTGGCATGTCTTGGGGTGCCGCGGCCTGTGGTCAAACTTCAGGCCCACGGGGGGGGGGTGAACAATACAGATTGCCTAGAGACCTGGCAGGATTTGAGCCCGTGACCATCTGCTTCCAACACCGCTTCAAAATGCCCCGGGAGGGGGGGGGGTTCGAGTGAAAAATCACTGTGTTGGACTCAGACCTGCCCCTCCCCTTGCTGAAGCAAGAGTAAGCTTTCGTGAAAAGTTCCCGCTGAATAAACTGTTTGAGCATCACACGGCAAATCACTTCCAACCTCACTTAAGATCACTTGAAGATCACTTAAGAGCAAATGATGCAAATGGATGAAGATCGGATAAAGCACTGCATGTTCCATCAATTTCTCTGGAAAGTGGGAACCGAGGAATTTTTCGGAAGAGGTCCCAAGGTCCAGACTCTGGTGGTATTTGTTTGGATGCTTGCCATGTACCTCGTGTTATTCATGTTCACGTCGATTTCTGCATGTGACTGATGCTTTGCCAGCCCAAAAGACCCAAAAGTTTCAAAAGGCCCATTGGCATCGGTTTCAACTGATCACAAATCTTCAACAATCACTCTACGGTTGACGTCTATCAGATTCATTTTGCACACGCATTTCAAGCAAAAAATGATTCTGCGAAAATCATTGAAAAACAATCATGTTTAGCAATAAATCAATCAACCTTTCTGTTCATTGCTGGTAGACCTGGTAGACCTGGTAGACCTGCCAGGTGCTCACCGACATGTCGCTGGTGGGCTCCGCATGGGCGATGGAAGCGGCTTCCCGGCGGCTTTGGCCAAGTCAAGCGTCCCAGGCAAAATGGCCTGAGATGACCACGACCGTCGACCCCTTCCAAGTGTAACACGGGCTAGACGTGTTGCTACCTGTAGCTACCTGTACTTATCTTAGGATATCTTAGGATATCTTCGGTGTTTCAACAACAGAAGGGAATCTACACTTCGAAAAAAATAAATACCATCGGCCATCGGATGGTATTGCCGTTTGACAGACTTGCAGCTGTATGACCAGTTGCCCGCCTTCAAGTCACAGGACATCAAGCGGACTTCTGGCCTTGATCATATGGGTGCGTCCGAATAGGGAGACCACCAAAGTAACCATTGCAATTCAAGAAGGATAATCATCTTCTTCCGATGGAATTCGGGGTATCCTATGTTCGGACAAACTGATAATATGTACGTAGTTTGATTTGTAAAGTTGGATTACACGACATAAAATGTGAACACATGCGGGCACTTTCTGCATTGCATGCATCGCTGTAGAACTGTGCAGTTGGCTGAAGACAAGTACGTAAGATCAACCAAATCTACATTAGATCAACGGAACTTTGTCTCATGAAGGAAAAAGTTGCATAATCCTGGAGAGTTGTCTCCAAGGTGAAATGGTAAAGTGCTCCGTGTATGTATATATATATATACCCGAGGGGCCCCAGGTTCTCCGATGGAGAAGCGGTGGGGTTGGGTGGGGTGGGGTGGGGCATGGTAGCGTCATGTTACGTTGCTGCTACGTTCATGGGAGGGGTGGGGTGGGGTGGGGCATGGTAGCGTCATGTTACGTTGCTGCTACGTTCATGGGAGGGGTGGGGTGGGGTGGGGCATGGTAGCGTCATGTTACGTTGCTGCTACGTTCATGGGAGGGGTGGGGTGGGGTGGGGCATGGTAGCGTCATGTTACGTTGCTGCTACGTTCATGGGAGGGGTGGGGTGGGGTGGGGCATGGTAGCGTCATGTTACGTTGCTGCTACGTTCATGGGAGGGGTGGGGTGGGGTGGGGCATGGTAGCGTCATGTTCATGTTACGTTGCTGCTACGTTGATGCGGCCTCTCGGGTATATATGTTACGTTGCTGCTACGTTTGTGCTGTCAGCGTTGGCTCGCTTTAGAAGTACCCTTTCTTGTGGCCTAGTGGCTCCATCGCGAGCCTTCCTCGAAGCTCCGTGGGAAAAGTGAAAAAAAAAGTTACACCGTTGTTGCGTGCAAGCTCCTGACAAAACATTAAGTGTTCACACTATAGTATATAGAATGAAAACACAGAAAAAACGCCTGACTGTCAGCACTTGCAATTTTCTACGCATTGCCAATTCATTGCAAATACCAGTACAAAATGAGCATGACGCAAAATGCCTGAGAAAACACAGTACATTTGCTCAATTTTACATGACCACGATATGACTATACAATGAAAATTCACCATTTTACACCAAAAAATGCGATTTCTGACTTCTGAGAACATAATGTATGGCACAAGATGACTCTGCTTTAAAACGGACGAAAAAAAATTGATCCGTTTAACATGATGTTGAAAAGGACGTTGCCACTATTGAAAAATTGGCAAATTACCTAGGCGCCAGCTGTTTTTTTACATCTTCAAGCTCAAACACAGCTGAGGGTATCGGAGAACCTGAGGCCCCTCGCGTATATATATATGTATATATATACACATATATTTATAATATATGTATATATATATTCATAAAATGTCGATGGAACGCCGCTCTGAGGCTCCTGACGCAACAATCCCATCAGGTTGTGAGAGTCTTGCACACTTGACCTGGCATGAGGACGAAGTGACCAAAATTGGCCCAAAAGTTGTGAAACCCTGCAACACATTGCGACACCCCGATCTTTTGGTGCCTCTTGTGCGCTGAAGAAGACCTAGACTTGCAGTACATGTGGCTTCAAGAATGGGAAATGTGGTAAAACAAGGGAAAACACTTCCCAACCAGGTTACATCTGAAAAAGAATGGAGATTGAATGAACAAGAAGCAGGTATGGATGACGCCACTCTGGCTCATAGACATCCATAAGATCATACCATGCAAATAGCTCCCTTGCCATGGTCAACTGGTGAAAGTTCTTCAAAATTCCAGACACTTCAACTGCTAAGAGCTTGGGATACGCTGTCCATCTCAGACACATACTGCTGCAATCCATTGAAAGCCGCTCGCATTGGTGGTGTTGTCCTCGGCCCTCAGAACAAGTTTGCTGCTTGAATTCAGAATTGAGCGCGCCGAACTATGCCTGATCTTGAAACTCCACCCTGTATCACTGCGATTCACTGCGCCCCATGTTTGTCACAGCTATCCCTTCAGGTGCATCCTAGCTATCCATGAATTCCGGTTGTGTCCCGAACTCCGGCATCGCTGCGCAGCCTGCAGCAACGTATTCTCTTCACTGAGCTGCGCCAAGAAATTTTAGAGAATTTTGCCATGCTGGCGCCTTTTTCATCTTCTCCATCAGGGCAATCCTGGAAGGACCATATATCATATGGCATCATATGGCCATCTCCATTTTTTGACATGAAAATATTGAGATAATAATTACAACATAAATATGCGTTTTAACTTTCTACATCTCCATATATAAATATAATAATAATAACAATGATGATAATAATAATATACTTATGATATACATGCGTAGAAGTCAATCCGAAAGGAGCTCCTCCACTCCATCACAGCGCTGGGGCATCGGAATACACCTTGGAAGAAAGAAATCGACTCAGATGACTGAATTTTCTGAAATATTAAATGTGTAATGTATCTCTAAAAAAAACACTGGATTCGTGTTGTGTAGATCTTTGAGCTCATGGAATATACTGATCTTCTCCGCATGAATCTCAAGTACAGGAAGAATCAGCAGGAGTGCAAATATATGAAGAAGTCTTGCAGGCTGACACTTCTTCGAATGCAAAAGGCATTTGAATGAGCATCTCATCTGCTCCATGACATTATAGGCCTGACCAGTTTCACAACTCATATCAGCTACACATCACCGCTAGATGAATTCCAGACCGAGTTCTCGACATGGTTCCTTAGATGCGCTGATGCGCTGTATCGGGCGGGGTGTCTCGCTGTTGCTGGGGACCTGTGCACCTCCAAATCCAATCCTCTGCTAGGGCTTACTAGGGTACCAAAAAGAGATCAGTGCTAAGACTGCTAAGAATCCAGAGTCTAGCCTGGCAATGCCTGGCATATCCGTTTACATCTCGATACAAAGTCCAGGTGACAAGTTGCTTGATGCCACTGTGCCAAGCAATGGACAGCCATGAATCTTTGAAAGCGTCAAGGCACCGTTGCAAGGATAGCCACTCACTCCGAAGCAGGGATCGTTTCCATCAACCGTGCCATTCTCATTTACCTGGGACATGACTCATGAATGCTCATGACATGTTATGACTGTTATGACATGTCATAGCAGTGTAGTGAAGTGATCCATACAGTGATCCATGGGCACATGCAATGAAAACTGGGCCAAGTGCACTGGTATTGGTCAGTGAGAGATTGCCTCGGTAGTTTTATATAAGTTGGAAGTAAAAAAAGTGCTACTGCAGGCAGAAACACATAGCGTAATCATTGTAATTAATTTCAGTAAAAAATTGTCAGGCACCAACGCAGCAGTTCGCAAGCTGTTGTAGTCACCTGGCTGGAGAAAGACACTAGTGTTGTGCAGGTGGTTCAAGGTTCACTCCAAGGATGTTTCTGGTTGGACTCAAATGTATTGCCCAAATGCTGAAAACAGGTCTGGGGACTCCAAAGTGAGCTGGCTAGTTTCGGGTCACAGTTCAATGGTTCTGACTAAAATCATCAAAACACTGAATAAGGTCATCGAGTCATCAAGACAAAAGCATTGTGGTACCAGGCATCGGTTGCAGCATGGGTCCCCAGACATTGCGCTGAACCAGGAGGCCCCAAATGTCCTCGTCACCACCATTCTCGCAGTCCTGCGGAGTGGTAAATCAGATGGAAAGTCTGCCCAATTTGTTGCTTGGCGATGGGTCACGTCCTGCCATCCGTCGCAAAGACATACATCCGAAGGACACACAGTACAGACCTGGGGCGGTAGCTGTGTGAGCTTGGCGCCAGACTGTACAACTGGATCCAAGTGGGATCCAACTAATATGATCTAATATTATCGATCTGGCTACAGGGTGTCTATATATTTAAATATATATGGTCCAGCGTTCCAAACCCCCCCGGCCATGGTCATGGGTCAGCCATGGTACTGTCCCCCTCCGCCCTGTGGTGTGGTGGGGGTGTGGTACTGTCCCCCTCCCGCCCCTGTGGTGTGGTGGGGTGTGTGTGTGTGTGTGTGTTGCGGGGTGTGTGGTGCAGAGTAGTATGGTATGGTGGGTATGGTGAGTATGGTATGTAATTATCTCATGTAGTTAGATGGCATGGTGGGTATGGTCCTCCAGACCGTCGTTAGATCGTAGACGGGTAGCTCATAAGTGCGATATAGAAGCATGTGCGTAGTAAGTCCCTAGTATGCAGGAAAGATATGTTAACACATGCAGTGTTGTGAGAGTACACAGGTAGTAAATAGGAAGTAGATACATAGCACATGTATATAAGACTTTAGGTAGCACGTAGGTACTTTGAGGGAGTATGTGTGCTACGTAGGTCGTCTAAAAGGTAGCATGTACCTAGTAAATGCGACAGAAATGCTGCCAATAGCTTGCAAATAGAAGGGAAGGGGGTGCTACCTGGGGACCCACACCATGGGGGGGGTAGGAACACGGAACTTGAGACCATATATATATATGTAAATAGACGCATGATCAGAGTAATAATAATAACAACCATAATAATATATTAACATGCAACATATGAACACTTGCAACTGGAGTCCAGGAAGTTTGCTTCACACCAAGATGCACCAGTACCAAAGATGCGCCAAGTGGCTCCAGGTGCACACTCAAACTCCGAACTCGAGCAAAGCTCTGGCTCCTGCGAACGCTGATGCTCACCCCCAGCACTTTAGATTTTTCACATGTCTACAGTGTCAAAATCACGCAACTAGTCTTGACCAACTTATCAAAATCCACACTGACTAAACATGTATACGTGTCATTAGCTTTCTACAGGATGCATGGACAAACACTTGTGCGATGCTTTGATGTGACATGTAACCCTTCACTTCCAGCCTGATATGTCACGCTGACAATTGGGGTGCCGATCATTGCATACGACACATTGCGAACTAGAGATGCTCCATCCTGACGTTGCAAAATGACCGAAAGTTGACATTGAAAGCGCAAACTTTGAAAATGCCCGGATATTGAGGAGAAACAAAAGTGATTCAAATTTCAAAGTGATTCAAATTTCAATGCCATCCTGGATTCTGTTTAAAAAAATAAGAAACTGAACATCAAATATCATAAAATGTTCACCAGGCCATTGCATTCCTGGTACCCCTCTACGCAAGCCATGTGGCTGCCACAAGACTGGTCAAGAAACCAGGATCGTCTCGGTGGTGACTATGGAGTACAAGGCTGGAACCTGGAAGGCACTGAAGGCACTGGCTGAATTCTAGCCAATTGTCAGGACCCAGCTTGACCCTTTCCCCACGCAACCAAAGAGTGCTCCTTAACCAAAAAGAAAAAAACGTGTCAATCAAAGTGCTGCATTCTCCAGATGCAGTCATTCGTGCGGCAAAAATAGACAGCTTGGCAGTCTACTACAAACCCTGAAAACCTGGTGCTATGTTTGAAGAATGCTTCATTGATTGCTTCATTGCACATTAGATCTACTCAAGGAGCGAAGCTCAGCATCAAGGCCTCATCTTTCATATCCGTGTAAGCAAGCCCATCTGGAGGATCCTGAGATATCCAGAAACATGCCTCTGTGATTGAACATGTGGGAGGACTGGGTTATGAGAAAATGTGTCCGGTAACACGAGGCTAGCAAGCCGCTGAGCCGGCCAGTATGAGCCTTTTCTCTTCCGTAATTTTTGAACTGAACTTGCTTGTTGTGCCGCGAAAACGCCAAGGGTTCCCGGCATCAGATATATAGGCTCCCTTGCTATTTTGCAAGGATGAAGCTACCTAGGCACCGCCGTCCACGTCTTTCTGCGCAAAACTTTGTATGGACAAAGGATTGGTCCCCCGGCAGTGATCAACGCCTGAGCAGCAGGACTGAACAACATCTGGGTATGTCTGAAAATTGGGGATATCCCAAAATGGCAACCTTAATGCGCAATGTGAACCCTATCTTTAGACAAAACCATATCTTCGGGTTGGCACAAAAACATGAGAACATCATCTGCAGGTGACCAGCTTCGTGTGTGAGAGAGAGAGAGAGAAAAAAAAAAATGTGCCTTTGCTTTCTGCTTACCTCACACATTCGAGACGTGAAATCTGACAAGCATCGGTAAGGGGCCTCCAGCCCCGTGGTGTCAGCTGTGGAGTTCACCTGAAGCAACCCAAATGTGTGGAGCGAAGAGTGCATCAGAGATTCAACACTGCATCAAATTGGTGGCGCAATGTGATTCTAGATTATTTTAGATTATTTAAAATGATTGAATGGGGATTCAATGATAAGACCAAACAAAAGCACCATTTTGTGGAGATATCATTCAGATTATTGGAGATCGATCAACTCTCCATTCCTTAGGCATCGCCCCCCGCCTTGAATGTCAGCTGTTCGACACCCCCAGCAGCCCTCACCTTACAGCTCCAGGGAGCGAAGGGATGCTGCAAAACAACATAGGATGGTTCAGGATATGGTGCAGAATGGTGCGAGTGTGTATGCATATATATATAATATAATTATATTAATACTACATAAACCAACCGGTGATGTCTCATCACAGCCTCTGCATTCCCCAATGGAAGGTATCCTTTGGATCCTTTGGTTAGTAGAGCAGTAAGCCTATAGCTGATGCATGTCGTGCGCTCCCACATGAGCAAGGGTGCTACAGAAAGTTGCTATCTCATCTGCAAGACTGGCCGAAACAAATGTCAGAGTGAGCTTAGGAAACGGATGGATCCACAGCGAGAAAGTTGTGACAGCACCAAGCAATGGAGCCATCCTCAATACCATCTGCTCTTCTCCAGATGGAGTAATTTCGAGTATAAACCCCCGACCCCCCCCGGTGCTTTTGTCAAGAGATAGTAAAAGACACTAGGCTCCAATGAGATGAACGCGGACATGTAAAAGGGATCAAAAAGGAAAGAGTTTCCAAGTTCAGGGCCAAGATGTTTGGAACCTGGCTCAGAACCTAGCGGAGCACCATGAAGCACCACATGCTACCAGTTGTCAAACAGGCGGCAAAACAATAAACAGGGTGCCGTACTGCCGTACCTAAAACAGTCACCACCAGCCTCCAATTTCCCCTCCACCAAGATGGTCGTTGTGTGGGTCGTTGGAGGGCGGCTGGTGCTTGCAGCGTTCCTGGGAAGTCCAAGATCCTACCTTTGTGAAACATCAAAACAGCAAATCAATGGATGTTCAATGGATTCCATTGATGTTCACCCCCAGTACATCACAGATTTCGACCCCAACGGTCAGAATTTGCGAACCACTCCTGGAAGATTTAAGGATCATCTTGGCAGACTGTCCCAAATCAGCAACACTATTTTCGTGGCATGTGATTGAGTGTGATTGTACATAACCAAGTGACGCAGAGGTGGTGGTTGTGGCAGTGTCTGTGGTGGTGGTGGTGGTGGTGGTGGAGGTGGTGGACACCTCAGTAAAGCCGATGGAAAAGGGAGGCACTGGTGCAAAATGAACCAGTTTCCACGAGCGGAAAAAACAAGACGAAGTCTTTTTCCTTACGATGGTTGCGAAAGGAACCACAACTACTTGCAGTTTCCTATCTTTCTTGTCACTTCCTCGGCAGCCCAACTGTAGTTTGAAAGCTGGCATCCTGATGGGCCCTATTTGGATCTTTGATTAGGCAAGGCCACATTTTTTGTGTCTCTCTTTAACAATGGCAAAATGCACAAAGTTTGAACGAGACCAAGCATATAGTGATGAGAATCGGGATGTACAATGTCAAGACTTGCACATGAGATCTGCAGTTGGGAATTTTACTACGTGCCATGCAGTGTGCCTAATTCGCGCTTGCCTGCGTCGCTGGGTACATAGATTAGGTTCGATTAGATTAGGGTTAGATTAAACTAAATTAGTTTAAGGTTTTGATTTAGATTTAACCTTAGGTGTACAATGTAGATTTAGATTAGATGTGAATAAATTCTAATAAATTAGGGTAGATTAGAATAGAGAAGATGACATTAGATTGGATCGGTTTAGAGAGCGAGAGAGGAGAAAAAAGAGAGAGAGAGAGAGGGAGGAAGGGAGATAGGTAGATAGGTAGACAGATCGATAGGTAGATAGATCAATAGAATCGATATATCGATAGTCTATAAGTCTATAAGTCTCTGGATCTATGGATCTATGTAGTTGGTGTAGTTATACCAGTTATGCCTATAATTGCCTATAAAATCTATAAACTAGATGACTAGATCCATATTCCATAGATTGCCATAGATGCTCCCATCTCCTCTCTGGTGAAGGCGGTGGAGCCATCATGAGCTGTGACAAAGTCTGCTGACACCTCGGCTTTGCCCCAACTCCAGGCAGCTCCAACCGAAAAATGTGGGAAAATCTGGACGAAAATGGCCATTTTTAATGACTTGAACCATGACTTGAACCATGACTTGAAGCCACAAAAACGCACATGCAAAATCATTAAAAAAACTCAATGTAAACAATGTAAAGCTGTAAACCCAAGTTGACCAGTCCAATGCTGACGTGAACAGCAGCTGAATGAAACTGCCCTCAGGGTGTCACCTACAGACCTCTGTTGATTCATTCTAGTACTGATTACAGTGATATACTCGATACATCTCAATACTACGGAATACTTGTTTGGCAAGAAGACAACTTGCACACTGAGGCATCCAGCATTTGCATCCAGCAAGTCACATCCATCCGTCCTTATCCAAGAAATCCCGGATGGAAAAGTTGAAGTTCGCTGACGGGAAAAGTATGGAAGGGTGGAGTGAGCACATTGCATATCACATAGATTCACATAGCATGTACACAAAATTAGACTCTCTTGATGTTTGCGACTGAGAACTCTGACACTTCCACTGTCAAATATATGGAGGCGTTTGTCTTGGTCCTCAGATTGGCACTTTTTCTGTTGCAAAGTGTCCGGGTGCAGCAGGAACTCGAAGTAACTGTGATCCAAGAAGTACATATTCACTCTTACGGACTCTTACGCATTTGGAATAAACACGTGTCAAATGGCTAAAGGATGCCAAAGGTTACATCATTTCTTCCTAAAGATGTTTTTCCAGTGCCAAGGAGCAATGCCGCCAAGACATATTGTGCTTCCCATCGTTTCAGTGGTAGGGAGCTCCTTCCCAGTCTTGGTGAGGATGAATCCATCCAGGACATTCCAAGAATGGGTTGCCTAGGGCCTGGGGATTGATTTCTCAGGTTGATTTGCTAAAAGATCACGTTGGCAGTTTTGGGGGTCCGCGGCTTTGGGAGGCGCCTTCCAAAAATTCGATGTGAGTTCGTAAGATGGCTGCAAGGTGGCTACACTGCTTGTACTTGGAGATTTGTTAGCTGTGTTGAGCTATATGTTACACCATTTCTAGGATTTACCAGTCACTGACTATCGACGCTTGGATGCAGATACCAACACCTCACATCACTCCTGCCCCTGGCGATGCAAGCTTTGCCTTCCAGAAGGTGCTGGGGAAGCACCTCACTGAGTTGCACTGGTCACCCTGGACCCCTTCAGCGATCCCACGGGCTTCAAAATGAAACGTTGGTTCGAGTTGACTTGAGGCCGAAGGGAAAGGGACGAAAGCTAGCTTGGCAGAGACCTTGGCATGAAAACACAAAGGGCGCCGCGCAGTTGTGCAGTTTTTTCGTCGTGGACGAGCGGGTCTGAAGCTGGGACATGTTGGCAAGGTGAACATCCAAACCTACGTATTGAGGCGATGTATGTTGGAGGGGACGAGGATGAGAACATATGATTATGATGTACTGGTGCACGACAAGGAGAAGGAAATTGAGCATAGCCAACATGATGACTAGTGATTGGGGAAGATGGAAAGGTCCACCTTCGGCATCGGCGGGGACCTTTGGAAGCGTGGGAAGAAGTAACGCAGTGCAAAGCCGAAGTTGAGGACGAGAGGTAGGTGTGCGTGCGCAACATGAAAATAAAGCTAGGCCAAGGTTCCATACAGGGTCAAGTGTGAAAAGTGTAAAGTTGTGAGGGAGTAAAAGTGAAGTGTAAGGTGTAAAGTGTGAAAGTGTAAAGTTCAGAGTGTGGATTGTAAAGTGTAGAGTGTGGAGCGTACAGTGTACAGTGTGAAGTGTAAAGTGTAGAGTGTGGAGTGTAAGGAGTGTAAAGTGTAGAGTGTGGAGTGTGGAGCGTGCAGTGTAAAATGTAGAGTGTAGAGTGTCAAGTGAAAAGTTCAGAGTGTGGAGAGTGAAGTGTAGAGTGTGGACTGTCAAGTGAAAAGTGTGAAGTGTAAAGTGTAGACGGTGGAGTGTAAAGCATATGTAGAGTGCGCAGTGTCAAGTGTAGAGGATAATGTGTAGAATGTAGAGTCTAGAGTTTGGAGTGTAAAGTGTAGAGCGTGGGGTGTAAAGCGTAAAGAGTAAAGTGTAGAGTGCAGAGTGTCAAGTGTAAAGTGTGAAGTGTAAAATGTAAAGTGTAAGTGTAAACTATAGAGTGTAGAGTGTGAAGTGTAAAGTGTGGAGTGTCGAGTGCCAAGTGTAAAGTGTGGAGTGTAAAGTGTAGAGTGTGGAGTGGGGAGTGCGTAGTGTAAAGTGTAATGGGTGGAGTGCAAAGTGTAGAGTGTGGAGTGTAAAGTGTAGAGTGCGCAGTGCAAAGTGTAGAGTGCAATATGTAGAGTGTAGAGTGTGGAGTGTTAAAGTGTGAGAAGTGAAGTGTAAAGTGTGAAAGTGTAAAGTGTAAAGTGTAGAGTTTGCGGACTGTAAAGGGTAGTGTGGAGCATACAGTGTATAAAGTGTAAGGTGTGGAGTGTAAAGAGTAGAGTGTAGTGTGTGGGGTGTGGGGTGTCAAGTGTAGAGTGTGGAGTGTAAAGTGTAGTGTGTAAGTGTGGAGTGTAAAAAGTAGTGTAGAGTGTCAAGTGTAAAGTTCAGAGTGTGGAGTGTGAAGTGTAGAGTGTGGAGTGTAAAGTGTATATAGAGTGCGCAGTGTCATGTGTGGAGTGTGATGTGTAGAGTGTAGAGTTTGGAGTGTAAAGTGTAGAGTGTGGGGTGTAAAGTGTGAAGAGTAAAGTGTAGAGTGCAGAGTGTTAGGTGTAAAGTGTGAAGTTTAAAATGTATAATTAAGGTGTAAAGTATAGAGTGCAGAGTGTGGAGTGTAAAGTGTGGAGTGTCAAGTGTAAAGTGTGGAGCGTAAAGTGTAGTGTGCAGAGTGTAAAGTGTAGAGTGTGGAGTGCGTGGTGTAAAGTGTAATGTGTGAAGATGTGTGAAGTGTAAAGTGTAGAGTGCAGAGTGTAGTGTAGAGTGCCCAGTGTCAAGTGTAAGGTGTAGTGTAGTGTAATGCGTAGAGTGTAGAGTGTTGAGTGTAAAATGTAAAGTGTAAAGTGTAGAGCGTGGGGTGCAAAATGGAGAGTGCAAAGTGCAAAGCGTGGACTGTAGAGTGTAGAGTGTGGAGCGGAAAGTGCAAAGTGCAATGTGCAAACTCTAGTCTAGTGTGGAGTGTAAAGTGTAGAGCGCGGAGTGTCAAGTGCAAAGCATGAAGTGTAAAATGTAGAGTGTGGAGTGTCAAGTGTAAAAAGTGAAGTGTAATGTGCAAAGGGTGGAGTGCAAAGGGTGGAGTGCAAAGTGTAGAGTGTGGAGTGTAAAGTCTAAAGTGTAGCGCGCGGAGTGTAGAGTGTGGAGTGTAGAGTGTGGAGCGTAAAGTGTAGAGTGTGGAGTGTAGAGTTAGAGGGTGGGGTGTGGAGTGCCAAGGGTAAAATTAGAGTGTGGAGTGCCAAGTGGAAAGTGTAAAGTGTAGAGCGTGGAGTGTGGGTCGTAAAGTGTGGAGCGCATAGTTGAGAAGCTAAGAGTGCAGAGTGAGGAGTGCAAAGGATACCGATGTTGATGTTGCTGACGGTGACCCCGTCGGGGGTTGAGCCCACGGTCAAACTGCTTGTGAAAAAAGTAGTACAAAATCAAGTAGGTAGCATTTGCGAAGTAGATCTACCAAATCGATTAGATGGGAGGATTGGGTGGGTCGAAAAAGCGAACCAAACGACCATGGAGCAGGCAGGATAGATGGAATAGATGGTGGGGTGAGTGGAATAAATGTGTTCTGTACATTGGAAAAGGTAGATGGATCTGTTCAAAATGATTTTTTGGGAGCGGGAAATACAAGGATTGAGACACATACAAACAGAAAAGTCGAAGAACGGAATATTTTCATGTCTTAGATGGGACTGGGCTCCTAGTTCATGAGTAAGCACGATCGTTCGACAGTTTCTCCATGCCACTTTAAGATAGATGAGGAAAGAAAAATTGTAGATTGATGTAGCAAAACTGACCAGAATCAGCGCCTCAATACAGCAAAGTATGTTCATGAATACATATGATCCTATGATGAATATGATGAAGAAATAGGACATTGGTTGTTTCAAACGGATCAAAATATAGCCAAGTCCAAATAGCTGCGATATACAGCCTCCAAAATTGACGAACAGCCCATGAGTTGCCAAGGAGCGTAGGTTGTGGCCATTGTGCACTTGTAGGTCGCCTGTTTGTCCAGGAGGTGCAGTGACCATGAACAAATTGGGTATGCGAAGGTCAAGCCGTTGGGATACCTCAAGATTTCGGAAAATATCAATCCCCGCAATTTGGGGAAAGTCCATTTGTACCTGGTACCTTGGGCAAAGCCATTGAGCCCCCAGGCTACATCGCACACTCGCTTCGACTCACTGCCAAACGGTGGGAAGAGCCTCACATCTGACAGGCTTGAATTGTCAAAGGAAGTGAGTCAGTATTAGCCAATCGAGCCTAGCCAGGGTAGTGAGTGAACAAGCAACTGGATGTGATTCTAATCTTCAGATATCTTCAGCACTTCTCGCAAGATTGTTCGCGTTCAGCCGAGGTCAAGCGTCATCTGCACAGCATCTTGGATGGAAGTGCGGAATCACAAACTCTGAACTTACAATACTTTTGCAGCCGTCGCTTTGCTGTAATATGTTCATCAATCGAGCTCGAGACATGCATAGAACAACGAGGCGGAACAGCTCTGCTGGGTGGCCGAGCAAATCGCAATCGCTATCAGTTTGACAAGACTTCGTCAGTTGTAGCCGATCCTCAGCATCCACAATTCCTATCATCGTCATCTCATGTGCCTTCATTCTACCACTGAATCCATTAATCATCATTAATCCCTTTGACAGTATCCAAAGATCTGGAATTACAAAAAGGAATGCTGACATCCAACGATGTTTCATCATTACCTGGCCATCCTTGCAGTGGCTACTGGTCTCCAATTTTCACCATGCCATGGCACAGAGCACTGTTCTTCCAGCAACTTTGGCCTTGGTGACATCGCAGGGCTCAGTGATCCTGGTGAGTGCATCTCAATAGCAAAAAGGGCAACAATAACAAATACAAGTACATATACAGATGCATGTGTATATA